GGAGGCCTCGGGTCGGATTCCCTGACGCGGCGGATGCGGATCTCCTCCGGGCCGGTGGGGTTAGGGTTTCACTTCCTCAAACGTCAGGCCGGAGTTCGGTCCAAACGTTTTCGTGCCTTAAGGACGACTCTCGGCTGCTGTCACCACGGCGTTTCCTGCCCGTGAGCCCATTCTGTCCTCGTGAAGGCGATTTTCAGTCACGGCTCCCCCACACAAAAGCACACACACAAATAAAAACTAAACTAAACCAGCGTTCCGTCTCAGGGACTCGGAGGTTCTCCGGGTTCTGGCTCCGGTGTGCGTCCACCGACCATCAGCTGCGGATGGAGGGGGGGGGGGGGCTGTCAGCCGGGCGGCAGCTCCCTCCCAGAGACAACGAGGCAACCAAAGATCTTCAATATACGGTAAGATGCGCCACTCCTGCGCCATTTACAACCCGATTTCCACTGACGCGTTTCAAACAGGAGCCAATACATAAAGAAGGTTAAATCTATGGATTTCTGTGAACTCCTCCAGTTTCTGTCCGTGGAGGGTTAAAACAGGACTGAACTACGAATAGATCGAGGATCACATTAGTTGTAAAACAGATTATGTTTGAGGGTTTCATATAATCTGTTTGACAACTAATTTGATGATGTTCTACATAGAAATAGGTGGAAATTATTTATATTGTTACATTTTGTAGATCTAACGGGGAAAAATTATCAAACTATAAGGCGATACGCTTGGATCCTGAAATGGTGACACCATACAGAAATATTGCAGATAAATGTACCAAACTTACAAACTTACAATCATAATAAAAACTACACGTCCTCTTATTTAAAGATTAGAATTTCAATTTACTTCGCAATAATCTGTGTATAAAATTCATTTAGGGTAATTATCATGTTAATTCTATACAGATTTAGTGGATAAAGATTGGTTATCTATTTAGTTTAGTTTAAAACAACTAATAAAATGACTTATAATTAAAGGATTTTTTTATGGCTGAACACTCAAAAATGACAAATAGATAAAGGATTTCTCAATAGGAAAACCATTTCTAAGTGTATTTTTTTGCTTTAAAGAGTATGAGTCAAGCCTTTTTCTGGTCCAGGAATCTGCAGAGGAGTGAGACCTCTTGCTGCTGCTGTTTGGACTGAACCATTTACAGGAAAGCAGAGGGACTCTGGCCCTGCCCTTCACCCACTGTCTGCCTACAGTAAACACTGGCAGAGTCAATGATTACCCTTTTCCTATAAATTATTTAGTTCCTTTTTCACGTGATTTTAGTGGGTACATTTTATAAAGAGAAAAACTTCTTTAATATTGACATTATGATTTTTTCATTCTTTTAATTTATTGTCTCTTTTTAGTTGAGAAAAGAAGTACTTTTAGGGAATTTCCACTCAACAGGATTAAATCTGAAAACCAATCATGCCCCAAATGCTCCATTTAAAAAAATGCAGGTGATTTTTGTTGTGTTTGTAATTCTTATTTCTAACTTTTCAATTGCTCTTATCTTTAGTTTTGCCCAACTACTTAACAAAGCGTTGCTACTTTTGACAGGATGAAAGTCTTTTCCTGATAAACAGATTCTTTTTGACCTGTTTTTCACTTAACCGTTATTTGTTTTAAAGGAAATTGCTGTTTATAATCCTAAAACTAGCATTTGGTGACATAATTTTCAGTTCGGAGTACAAGTTTCCCCTACCAGAGGGCGGGTTCTACACGAATTTCCAAATGTGTCAGCATGGAAGGAGTTCACAGCTCTCCCTGGGGCACCTAGTCACGCATGTAATGGGACTGAAAACGGAGGGAGAGATGATTCTTCTCGAGTGCCTGTGAATCCCATGATGCTGCAATCAAGGGGCTGATGTCACCCTTTTCCCACCAGCTCACAGATACACAAATCACCGGTAGGCTGGATGTGTTGTTGATGGAGCTGCCCTCACATGTCGTTTGTTTTCTTCTGTTTCACCGGCATGTGTGGACTCCCCCCCCCCCCCCTTGCCCCCCTACGGCCGTGACAGCATCTACATTTGTCACCTTCGGAGCCCCTGGAGACAGGACGCCAAATCCTGATGGGCCGGAATGAGCAATCAAAAATCAATTAATCCTAATCAGAGGGAAGTGCCAAACACTGCTGATGGACTGCGGCCGGCGTTTATTTTCCCCCGAGCTGCAGAAATGTGGCAGAGACAGCAGTCTCCTCTGCCTCCTCTAACAAATCTCCTACCAGACGGGGAGCTGAGGGTAAATATAACAGCAGTAAATAAAGAAAGAGAGGCTAAATAAGCAGACGAGTCTCGCTGTCTGATGTCAGTGAGAGAGATACAAGCAGCTGCTTCTGAAGGTGGCTGACACCAACCCTCTGGTGCTTTTTAATCTGCTTTGGCCACAGAAAATACGTTTCTTATAGCAGGTTATAAACCTCAAATGTTTAGCTTTCTTAAGGATGACTTTCAGATCCTTTCCTTCTGCTTTAGGTAGTTTTTTAGGCCCAACACTTCTGCTTTTGTCCTCCACTTGTTTCCTCAAATGTTTTAAGGACACGCTGCACGCCAGGCTGATCGGCCAAGTTTTCAGCTAATAGCTCTTTGGGAATCAGCTCATTGCTGCCTTAAAAAATGGCGGTAAGCCAAATGAGATGCTTTTAAGTACTGAAAGTTCATTTAAAAAGACTAAAAGGCTCTTGCTTTTAAAAAAAGTGCAGCGTGTTAGTGTAAAGTGTGTAAATCTAGGGAGTAAAATGCTGATGTTAGTGTTGTAAAACTGTCCTGTCGGCGCTTTACTCTGCTGTACCGATCAGGTGACACTAGGTGGGGCCAGCCGTCTATAAACTGAGAGGAATCATATTCTGATTGGTTTCATTTCATGGATGAACCATCTCTGAACTAGGCAGCCAATGTGTCTGCCTAGTTAAGTATGAGGGTTAAAAATGGCCGTCATACGGGGCATTTTGCCCCCCCTGAGGGTGTAGAGCTCTGCCAACACTCTGCTGACCCACATTTGGAGGTAAAAACAGCTCGATATCTCAGCCTGTTTGGCCTGTCTGAAACACAGCCAGGACAGTCCCAACAGAGCCATGGGACACGAGCGGAGGTGAGGAATTCAGACCAGGACCAGCTCACATTTAGAGCCGGAAACTGAAGCCTGGACGTAAGATTCATTTCCAATTAACACAATGCTCATCAAAAAGTTCAGTTTTCATTGAAAATGCTGATAAGAAGCTAAATTTGTGAGAAAAATACAAATATTAGAATTTTTTTTTTTTCATCAGCTTAATTTTCCTTTTAAATGTACATACATTTTTGGATTCCAGATGGAGAAATTTGTAATGTTCAAACAGAGGACCTCCCCGACCGATGGAAAGCAGCAAAGATTGGTTCAGGGGACACAAAATAACCACAAACAAGACGCAAAACAAACACCAAAGAGCAAAAATATCCGGAGCAATAAACATATCAAATTTAAACTAGAATATCAATGTAACCATTAGGAAATCTTGTATCTCTTTCTCTCATTCTCATTTCCATACAGCTGATATTGGGTTTGAGGCTAATTTTTGCCCAATGATTTCCGGTTGCTTTTTAACAACACTGAAGACCTTCTAACTATTTTCATTAGCTATAAATGAATAAAGTGACTCCATGAGGTTGATATTTTAAGGCATTTCTACCACAAGCTGAGCACATCAGGGGTTTATACAGCACGTCAGGGGGAGAAATACCTCAGCTTCTTGTTCTTTCTTCTTCAGAGATGATGAAAGGCTGTGAACTTTGGCCTCAAGCTCTTCAACCTGGAGGCCCAGCGAGCGTTTCTGCTGTGATAGCTCCTCCGTCACCCTGTCACACAGAAACAGAGGCCCAGACACATGTTAGAGGACAGTACGTGTTCTCCACTATGAGAGCAGGCCGGTTAGCACCAGTTACAGGAGCTGGAGCCAGAAACGGTGTCAGTGGTGACCAGTGGTGACCAGTGGAGAGCATGCTGGTAAATACTGATGGGGATTTGAACTCTGCATCAGGAGGGGGGAGCATTTTTTGCAGGAGTTGATGGAAGCCATCCAAAAAGTAATCCCTTTTTATGTTTTTCCACATTTTCAGAACTATGGCACATCATAAGGGACAAAGTTAATGTTTGAAAAACTGGTTTCGAGGGAATGAGAAGCTGTTAAACTCTTGACCAACTCACCAACTTGGTTGGTCATTGGAATGCCCTCGCTGGTTATTAGCATGTCACAGCTACAATGACTTAGCTGGGTACTACTATTCCTGGCTGGCCACCTGTCCCAAATGGACGTTAGCATGTTTGGGCTGGTCATTAGACTGTTTTTTTATTTTTTATTAAATCAATTAAAACAAAATACCAAAGATTAAATATACTAGAAACACATCATCAACTCATAAATCTTTACATTTACAAGATAAGTGCAACAATTCTAAAACATTACTAAGGCCCACAATCATTTAAATTTAAAGACATTCAATGAAACAATAAGATAATTTTGTCATTTTTTTATGCTGCCAATTGAAAATAAATCAGTATTTGTCGCTCTCAGTAGCAATGAACCATATACTAAGGTGGCTGCCCCTATAGGAAAGCACTAACTCTGATGAATTGGGAACTATGAATATTCATGAGATAATCGCACAAAAC